CCCTCCACATTCTTTAAAACGCGGTCCAAGTCCAGACAACGTACAACTTTCTTGCTAAATTTGCAATCTGGATAAAGTGTAGTACAAAATCTAGTGTCCTCTCCTTTGAAGAGACTCACCCGTTCTCAGTGAATTTACTGTTGTGTGATCGGGACTGTTGAGGAAGAGTCTCTCTGTCGTTAAAGGGGCCTTAACATTTGTGCTGGTATTCTCCATGAAGTAACTGCGGGACAGTGTTGCAAACAGTAGCTTGTCTATGTTAAAGCTAAATAATGTACAAAGCATGGAATGGAAACAAGAAGCGGATGTGGACATCTTTTGTCACCTTTTGTAGCAAGAAGGAAAATGGGAGGTTGGAGCGAAGAACTGAACATTGTGTCAGACATTTTGAAGCATTACAAAACTTTTGTATACATAAATCAAGTGAGAAATAGGGTCATTTTATCAAAGCCTTACATCGTTAATTTGTCAATACCTTTAATTAGATAATAAAACATTTGGGAACCACATATTTTATTAAAATGGTTGATAACCAAGCATACACTGGCAGCTTGAATTGATGCACTGACAGTAGGTAGTATTTCAAATACCAAATACACAGAACAAGCTGGATTTCAGGAAAAAGTCCTTGAGTTCCTTGAGTGTGTTCACACACTGGACTCTCACTTAATTGTGCTTTTTTTGTGCAATAAGTGATTTTGTTTTAGGGAATCTTTGTGTGTTATATTGATTTATTCCTTCACCAGTAACATATCAACTGATTTTTACAGAACACTCACAGCGGTTCCCCTTCATCCCCACAGAAAATAAATGTCCTCATAGACATTTTCGGAGCAGAAAACGTTTGAGGCAAGAAAACGTTTTAAAACAATCAGTCAGGTACGTCAGATTCTGAATTAATTCAAATAAACTAAATAAATAAAAAGGCTAGATTATAAATTTGTCTGAGAGGTGCCAGGATTTATTAGTGTGGTAAATACAAACTTCCGATGAATACAGGCATTTCCTCTGTATATTTCTTTATTGAGCTGTCACATACAGTAGTGCTGTATGAAGAACGGTGTTCTCGTGAGCACCCTGGTTTGCCTCCTGCTCTTTTCTTCATCTGAGGATCAGATCTTCAGACCTCGGAGGGGTCGTTCATCTCAACACTGTCTGCCATTTTCAAATCCCGCTAATAAGCCTGTGCTTGCAGCACGCACAGAGACGCACACCTCACATGGAGGAAAGACAAGACGACTGTTGCCTCGCATTTTCCTACAATTCAAAGTTCCGCTTGGAATCAATGTGACAGCCGGATGGGAGTGTTGCTAGAGAGGAAGGGAAAAGAAGACGAGCGGCGTGAGGAGACAACAGGATGGCCAGAAGATGGGTTACTAAAAAGCAAACTGGGAGGACGGGCAGAGGGGATGAAGAAAAGATTGGAGACTAATAGAATATTGATAAAGCTTGGGGAGGAAGCATTGGCCGAGTTGATGAGACTGAAGGAGGAGGCGATCGGAGTAATAGGTGAGCTAAAATGAAAGGCAGGGCGATGAGAGAGGAGAGGAGAGGCTGGGCAAGTCGCTGAGGCTTCACTAATTGCCACTTCGAAGAGTCGTTCCAAAGAACGGTCATGCTGGTCTGTTCTTTGAATCGGATCTCTGTTCCTGCCCCCCCCCCCGCCCCCAAGCCATCCGCCACTGTCTAGACAAGAGCAGAACAAGCTGTTCTTGTTATAGAGAGGAAGAGGGAAAAATGTGCAGTGTCATTAGGTGCTCAGTGCCAGCAGAGCACATCGGAAAGACTCGCTCAGGATGGGCCTTGAGAGGCGTTTGAGCACATACGAGCTGCTGGGTTTGCGTGGATGAACTGCAACCAGAAACCGCACTAACAACACCCGTCCCACGCCTCCCCAACTACATTGATGAAATTCATTAGCATCTAGTTCTACTTTTCCCCTGAAGCATTCGTTTTTGCTTCCATCTTACACCAATTGCCTGCAAGCCTCTATTGCCATCAGTAGCTAAGTCATAGATTTGTTACTATATGGCAAAAACACATCATTTGACTGAAAGTTTTGTGCAAATAAACACCTTGCACTGCAAGTATATGAGTCTAGACTTGGTATAACTGAGAGATTATGTAAAGAAAATACCCCTTTCTTGATCGAGTTGTTTTCCGGTTGCAGCCTTCTGCTTGGTATCTCGATGTCGCTGGTTGGTGTTAACGCAGTTAATGTGTGAAAGTGGGCGTGAAGTACGGCGGTTGAAGAAACATTGTGGTTTGGATCAAAATACGTATGCTTGTTGTGTCATGTTTGCGTAATATAACATCACCATTGGTGGTTCGATCCCTGAGCCCCCTGCTGGTCAATGTGCCGCCGCACATCCTAATAGTTAGAATTCAGGTGGGCAGGTGGCACCCTGCTTGGTTCCTGACTGTCATCTGGCGTTGAAGCATTTTGATTGGTCAGAAAACTACAATTGGTGCTGTACAAGTAGAGTCCGTTGTTCCATTAACACGTCATCGCTAATGAAGCAAGACCCAGCTGTGAAGGGCTGCAAGGGGATTGAAAGGTGTGGCCGGTTATTATGCCGCCTCCTCCACTCAATTATTATTGGTTAAAAGTTGTGAGTTTTAATTATAGTAACAATTGTGTTACTATAAACCTAGAATAAAGTGTAGTTACATGTGACTAGTGTACACTGACTCAAAGTTCAAAGGATGCCTCCTTCCAGAAACAACGATGTGGTTGCTGCCAATAATCCTCACCCCTATAGACTATTTATTAAAAGAAAGAAGAACACTGAAGGGAGCTCTGTATCTTATTAGGAGTAACAAGGCCATTGTTTCCGGAGAAAAAACATTCCTCGTTGATGCTGTAGGAAACAATAAATGAAATTCCATTTACCTCCATTGAATTGGGAGCAGAAAGACTCAGCAACAGGTTCAAATGCTGTGCAAGTAAAACCCGGACTATGTTTTTATGTTTTCATTGTTTTCATTTTAGGATGCCAACAACAGCCATACATTAGACATGGAACGTCCCAAAAATATTATATTTCAAACATTTCAAGTAAAGCTTTTTTACCCACAGACAAGGACTTTTGTTCTTTTTTGCCCTTTGACTTTGCTTCCAAAAGCCACCAGACCACTGAGGGGGATGTTTTTCACAGACTAAATAGACCAGATGAGAGGCAATGTTACCCTTTTAGTTCTCTCTCCACAAACTCTCACCTGACATATCAGAGAAAAGAGAAACTGTGAGTCGGTGAAAATGTAAATGTGCTCACTTGAGTCACTGTCAATTACCGCCTGCAATCACATCAATGACATTGACGAGCTGCAGGGGAGTTAATGGACCTTTAGCCCAGGGTTTAAAACGTGGCATCAGAATCAGTCAGAACCACTATCTCTACAGTTTATTACATTGATTTTGATCTTTTCATCCCACGACGATCTCTGATCGCCACCTTTTCCCTTCCACAATATGAATTTATAACAAAAAATGATTTTCATGGTTTCATTTGAACCCTTGCCGAGGCACCATAAGTACATTATAACAAACACATCTGCTGTCTTACTAACAGTCTTATAAACAGTCTTACACACTTCTTAGGAAGGCCTGGAGGAAATGACGTTTGGCAAACTGTGTTTTCACTCAAAGGCATATTCAGACATTCAACAGACTCGGATTTAAGTGGCTTTTATTTTACAACGACACATTCCCGCATTTGATTCCAGCCCTGGGACTTCTCTGTTGCATGCAGGCGGCAAAGTCCGGTTATGAGACCAATGAAGAAGTGTCTCAAAATGTGCATTCTACTGACCAGCAGGAGGGGACTTCTCTGGTTGCAAAAAAGGTTTGGTGTTATAGAAGTTTATGAGAAAATAAGTCAAACTCTCTCTTGATGTATTCCCTCAGTTACAATGTAAGCATGAGTTTATAGTCTCAATCTCTCATTTGTCTCAGCATGATGTTCATTCATTAAAGGATGGTCCATTCAAAGTCAAATAGACCACCGAGGAGGGTTTGCTCTAGGGTGGGGCTACCCTGTGATTGGTTAGTTTGGTCTTTCTACATCACTCCTCTGCATTCCAAGTATTATAACTTCAGTCCATTGGTTGAGAAAAAAAAAGCTTCCATTCCATGATGGAATATACGCCGTCAACATGTTGCTTTAGAACTTCCACAAACGTCAATGTTTGGGGCTTAAAAACATCCACAAACCAATGGCTTGTTGACTGTCTGCTTCTTAGATACTTACTATGGTTGCATGTCAAACCTTCCCCGACCCTTTTCTACACTGTGAAATAAAGGTAAACTGATCAATTTTTCCCTCCAGAATTAAAACAATTATTTAGTTATATTTATTCCCTTTGACATTTATAGGTTTGAGGTGGGTTGTTTCTTCCCCAGATAGTGCTTATTGATATTTAGGGAGAAAGAAGCATTCCGGTAATAACTGTGACAGTAGCGCATTACAGTTTTGGGGGCTGAGGCACATCAAAGGCTTGTTTGCAAAGCTGTTTATTTATTTGTTGTTTTGAACCAGAAACCACTTTTTGTGTGTGACCTTGTTTCTGAGTGAACCCAACGCATTCACTCTGCTTCGTATTCTCAGGGCTCATAGGTAGAAAAAAAAAAAAAAAATCATACGGTATCATTTGACCTTGCACATTCTGAGGCGCAGACCGAAGGGAGAACTACACATAGCGGCAGCGTTTTTTGAGCCTTTGGATGAACAGTTATTGGGCTGTTGCACGCTCTGGAGTCTGCACTGTTACACAACTGTGACTTTTTAAAATGTTGTATGCTTTCCACTGTTGGTTGAAGTAGTTTTTCACGACACAATTCTACGCCTGTCAGCTATAGAATAAAGAAGCGGATCACTCCTTAAAAGCAATAAAATGCTTTAAACCCGAATAAGTTTGTTTGTTTAGAAAGCAAATTCTTCTCAGCAATTGAAACGCTTGTGCTAAGAAATGTTTCCTCTCCCTCTCCCTCGGCTGCGCAGAGTGCAAGTTCCACTGCACCAATGGGAATTGTTTGCGTCTGAGTTCGCTGATCTGCAACCAGCTGAATAACTGCGGGGACAACAGCGATGAGGAGAACTGCCCCGTGGTCACCCAGCACCCTCCGCCGGGCATCTTCAACTGTGAGTCCCCTCGGTGACCTTCCTTCCTGTCCTCTGTGCGGCCTTCAGCTCCGTGCGCTCCCCGGGGGTCGCTTTGTCGATCCCCAGTGAGTGTGCACGATGTGGACGCAGACCTGGGGGCTTTACTAGGTCGCGGTGCGTGAAATATGACTTTCAACGGAATGCGTCGACTTTTCTACCATCCAACTTTTTTGGCATGTAAATTAAAAAGTCCGTCCATCAACAACAAATGAACCGAAGGAGTTACATGTTTTCTTCTTTATTGTATGCTGAAAAAACAATACCTAATAGCGCGGATCTCAAAAGGAGTCGCATTGAAGGGACCCGGAGGCGACGTTAAAAATATCATCATAATAGTCTTTGATGGGTAGCACAAAATGATTAATCATTAACGTTCAAAACAAAGGAGCCAATCAAATCCTCCTCAGGTTTCATTGTCCCACACGTCTGTCTGTCTGTCAGTGGTCACGCAGATGCGCTTCCATTTTTATCAAATGTAACAATTAAAATGCCTTTGTGAGAGCGGCGTGTGCCTCACTAACTGAAACTATTAATTATTCAAAAAAAGTTTTGTTTTTTGTTCACTGCTCATGAATCCCTACAGGTACAAATGACTTTTGTCCATCTCATTTCTGACACTAATAGAGATCAGACATCTCTGGAAATACATGTACATGCGTATGAGTGCAGAATGGCAGTAGGACTTTGGTATCGGACATGTTTGTAGTCTTTTTGCCTGTAGACTGGCAGAAATATCCACCCCAGTAACTGTTATAATAACTGTGTTTGGATCCCAGAGGCCGTACTTCGTACCATGAATGCTCTCCACTGTCACATCTTTCTCTCAACCATATAAGGGCTTGTGAATAGAGAAACAGACCTGCAGAGTAATTTGAACAATTTACAATTTTGTGGCTTGTAAATTCAAAGCCAATTTATACATTTACTCACATATTTATACGGACGTATCTAAGGGTTTGTCTCCCATTGGAGCAGTAAAGGATTTTTTCATATTCAAAACATACATTTCATTTTATTTTTTGTGTTTGAATCTCTTTGCTGCTTTCATAAGGACCCCCACCCCCGCACCAACCACCTCCCCCTGCCTACTGTCCAGGGATGAGATGAGAGTGTTCCCTCGACTCGTCACGATCAATGGAAACACAGGGAGAGAGGGGGAGGAAGATGGAGGGAAAGGGAGCGAGAGGGTGAAGGACACCAATGGGCTGCGATGGCTGTCTGCCAGGCCACTTTGATGTGCTGCAGCAGTCTCTTTCAACAACTTTAGGGAGGAGAGGAAAAACTTTTTTACAGCAGCACTTTCATCCTCAGCTCTTGTGTGTGTGTGTGTGTCTGGCGGGTTACCTTCCTCCCCCCTGCATCTCTCCCTCCCTCATTCACTCCCTCACCTCCCTACCTTGAATGCGGTTCACCTCTCAAACTCACAACTTTGTTGCTTTGGAAATTTAACTCACTTTCGTCTCTTTTTTTGCCCGCCCTTCTTTTCTCTCCACAAGGCAGTAGAAGCAACCTTTTTTTTTAATTATGGTTATTATTTTGGGAGGGACAAGCCGGGGGTTGGGGGCAGAATCCTGAGCCCTAAATATGTAGCTGTCTAGAGCGAATGTAAATGTACGGGTCTGCGGACGGTGGTTTGGGAAAAGCACTGGTGGTGCCTGAGAGGCAGTGATGGAGGTACGTAGAGAGAGAGAGACAGAGACAGAGAGAGAGAGAGAGACAGAGAGAGAGACAGAGAGAGAAACGGTAGAAAGAGAAGGTGCAGACTGCTAGAAAGCGAGGCTGCATTGCTGCAGAAGGATAGCAGAGAAACAAGGGGGAGCTGGGAAGTGAGAGAGGGCCAGACAGAGACGTGGATGTGGACACAGAGAGGGGGGGGGGGGAGAGGAAGAGGGACACAGAAAATGTTTCTGTGTTAATGGGGTTTGCCATCTTGTTGTAGCCGCTGGCTGTTGCCGTGGCAGTGGCAGACAGATGGATCATGAATACTGTCTAGACACACTGCAGCCTGACAAACTACCCCCCCACCCCTAAAACACACACACACACACACCTTTCTCCACGGCCGCAAGACTGGCTTCCCTAAATGCAATGCAGTCGTGATTAATGTTGTTAATTACCTGTGTTTTTCCTGCAGACACTGGTGAAATGTGTGCCGGCCATGTTGAATTCAATGGAAGCACATTAAAACATCAGACACAAAACATTAAATTGACCCTTAATCAGAATCAGAATCGCGTATAGAGTATAGACATATCTGAAATAATAAGTGTTGCTGGGCTCTTCCTTGAGTCCACTGTCATCTCCACAGTTTTGAGGCCTGTTGGGCGACTGTGGGTGAGTGGGGAGCACGGTTGTCCTCCAATCAGAGGGTTGTGGGTTCGATCCCAGTCCCGGCTAACCCGCATGTCGATGTGTCCTTGGGCAAGACACTTAACCCAACATTGCTCCTGTAGCTGCGACTACAGCGTATGAATGTTAGTTACTGATGGGCAGGTGTCACTGTGTATGGTTCTCCTGTCATCAGTGTATGAATGGGTGTGAATGGGTGAATGATGTCATGTTATGTTAAAGCGCTTTGAGTGGTCAGAAGACTAGAAAAGCGCTATACAAGTACAGTCCATTTACCATTACCATTTACCATGTTCAGCTCCAGGTTGTTCTGAACACACCAGAGGACCGGCCGGTCATCCTCGCCGTGAGGCCGATGGCCGCTGTGTTGTGGGTGTAGAGCAGTGGTTCCCAAACCGTTTCTGTCGGCGCACCCTTTGAGCATATAGGGACGTTTCTATGCCTCGCTTTGTCCGGTGTGACGATTAGCTCATGGTGACTTACGGCACCCAAGTTAAATGTGCTGAATGACACCACAGTGAACAACTATTTGCAATGTAAAGATATAGTGAAGTAATATCTGTGTTCCCCCTCAGGCGAACACTGTTAGCTTTGTGAGCGCCGCTGCCACTGTCTATTTCTAACTGTGCTTCATTTATACAGATATTGTTCCGTAACTGACACTGACTGACAAAAGCAAGCAATCAGCTAAAGTGACACAGTTTGGCTTTAAATTCAGTGTCAGAACACTGCATGCAGAGCCGTGGTCTATGTTCAAAGTGATATTTTTCAGCGAGTGAGGTCTCAAAAACCTTCATCTCTATGGTAAATTACCAAGCAAGGACGGAATGAATACGACATAACAAAACCATTATGTTCTTGCATACCTTGTAGCAGCCACAACAAATGGAGCGTTGATGTTTTGTGGAAATGCTGCTGCTGAGCGCACTGTGGCTCACAAATATTCTGAGATGCACATTAGAGATGGAAGTTATTTTGAAAGGTAAATACACTTTTACCAATGTCAATGTTGTCACTGCTTTTATTTATCCTGCAATGTGTCACCTGTGTGTGTGTTCGCTCTGCAGCCACCTTTCATCATCACACTAAACAGATGCATACACCGTTTAGTTCAGACCTCATTGAGTGTTTGCATAGTTTCTGTCTGTAGTGCGTATGTATATGTATTCATTCACAAATATTTTGGAGGAGACCATAAAAGCCCCAATTCAAATCAAGAAATTATAACATGTCGTCTAAAATGGACACCGAGACAAAGCCTCCATTGGTGAGGTGCAAGAGATTTGAAGCGCTGGGCGCTCTAGATACCCCTTGAGCGTCTAGTGCATTGTTTCTTTTGATAATACACTACCTGCTGGTAGGAAAACGTATAGATTTCTGCTCCATATGGTCAAAATCAACTTGCAACATAGATTCACTTTGTTTTTAGGTTGACTTTGTTCTGTGTCTTTGCAGTTGTTTTCTTTGTCGTTGTATGTATGTAGGTTTATACTCATGTATGTCTCATAATGGTTTCATGTTTCTTTGTGTGAGTCTCTTCCTTGGTGCTATTCATCTTTCATGCTCTTATCCATCAGGCGCTGAAGCACTATAGCAGCACTACTACAATATCTGTCACTCTCCAGAGTCATGAGGAGGTCTAAGTGATCTATGAAAGACCATTGAGCCGACAAACAGCATTTGAGGAAGACTGCGTGTTTCTCAGAGGGTGTACCTTTAGAGATCAAGGAGTGAAGGCTACATTCCTCTCCCTTTAGCCATGCCTGGCTTTCTTCCCTTGTTAGGCTCCGCTGAGTTGTGAAAAGGGGACAGAGAAGGAGACCAGAGGACGGCTTGGATCGATGTACAACTCCAGCTTAGCCATTGATTCCAGTCCGGTGTGAACGACACTTCAATAGCATCTAGCGAGGCCTCTAGGCTCGCTGAGTGATTCTGTTTGTGTTGGAGATTCCTAACTCTGTGAAAGCGTATTATTGACTACTCCTTTCCAGACTGTCTGAGTGCCTTAGACACTATAATATGAGGCAGCACAGGTCATTTCTCTCACCATTCCCGGGGAAGAATTCAAAAAGAATTTAAGGTGGTCGCTGTGTAAAGCACATACCTTTGTCGTAAGATGGAAGGTTGTCTCTGCCGTCTTTGTTTCTTTCTGGGTTTTAATTGACTCATTTTGCAACAGTTGTCAACAGTAAAACATTGTATACTGTCGTACTTTGCTGTGTATATGATGACGTTTGATGATTGACGACGTTTCATTATTACTATTATAACTGTTGCTTTAAAACAATTGGTGTTATTGTCACCATATGAAGCAATGGCAAATGTGTTAACAATTGCCTCCTCATACATTGAGCAAACGCTGAGCTACATTAGCAAGTATTTTGTGTTCCTAGTCCAGCTACAGCAGTGCCCATTAAAACTAAAAAAAAGGTAGGCAAGCAACCTTAAAATACAATGTCGTTTACCATTTTTCTCTTTTGGCGCGAGTTTTACAAAAGCAATTTGCTAAAAGTGGTGCTTTTTAAAGTATTGAGGAGGATGGTTACTCTACTGACCTACATACCTTTCATACCAATCTGACCTCTGTTATCTTTCTGTCAAAAGACAAAAGCTTTTCTCATTAGTACTCT